TGTTGTTGTTGTTGTTGTTGTTGTTGTTGTTGTTGTTGTTGTTGTTGTTGTTGTTGTTGCTGCTGCTGCTGCTGTTGTTTTTTTTTTTTTTTTTTTTTTTTTTTTTTTTTTCCAAATCGCGCTTTCGCGCGGGACTTCCTCACAATGTATGCAGTGATCAGGCTCTCGCGGTGGACTCCCTAACAATTTATTCAGACGCCGCGCCCTCGACACTCAGGAATCACGCTGTCGCTGTGGATTTCCTCACTTGGGAATCGTGCTATCGCTCGAGACTCCCTCGCGATTCATGCAGGACCCACGCTTCAGCAACTCGCCTGCTCGACCTGGCCGCCTGGGCCCGCCTTCCCGACCCGCCCGTTATGCTCTATCCGCCCGATCTCCCGTCCGGTGCTGCCACGTGTTTTCTGCTCCTAGCCTCCCTCCTCTTCTCTCTCGTGCTCCATCCTCCTTCCCCCTGCCCCTTCCATCCGTCCTCTTTTCCCCTGCCTCAGGGGCTGCACGAAATACACGCTGCAGGTAAGATAGACAAATATATATACATATATATATATATATATATATATGATCTCGGGCTCCGGGCCCACGGGCCCCCTTCCCCCCCGCCAGATGGCATGGGTCTCAGGGTCCTTCGGTCCACCCCCCTCCTGATGGGATGGGGGGGGACGGCGACGATGACGACGACGATGACGACGACGACGGCGATGGCGACGGCGACGGCGACGGCGACGACGACGACGACGACGGCGGCGACGACGACGACGACGGCGGCGGCGACGACGACGATGATGGCGACGGCGACGGCGACGGCGGCGACGACGACGACGGCGACGGCGACGACGACGACCACGACGGCGACGACGACGGCGGCGACGACGGCGACGACGACGACGACGATGACGACGACGACGACGACTACGACGACGACGATGACGACGACGGCGACGACGACGACGACGACGCGGCGGCGGTGGCGACGGCGCCGGCACCGACCTTCGGAGCCCTTCGACGACGACGACGGCGGCGGCGGCTACGACGACGACCTCTGGTGCTTTCCTGGAGCACCACAGTACCACGCCACACACGCCACACCCACCGCACCACACCACACCCACAGGGAGGGGGGCATCGCGCGCGGGCGGGGAAGCCCGATGACATTAGCATGGGGGGGTAGACCCTGGACATATACCCCCAAGGGAGTACGATCGAAGACGAAGAGGGCGGGTATCGAGGATTTGGGATATACGTGTTGAATGGCACGCGAGCAGATAAGAGCGAACAGTATTCACATCAATGTTGTTGTTGTTGCTGTTGGTGGTGGTGGTGTTGCTGCTGCTGCTGGTGATGACGTTGTTGTTGTTGTTGTTGTTGTTGTTGTTGTTGTTGTTGAACTTCATTTCTGGAGAGTACTTGTGGTTGATCCTCCCTGCCCGGTAACCACAGCATTGTTTAATCAAAGTGTTTCTTTCGGGGCTCGCGCCCTGTTTTTTTACAATGGAAGCGAGGTGTCACGAACCTGCGCCCCCAGCTGCAGGTTTACAAAACCAGCGGCTCCCGCCTGATACTTCCTCACCAGTCATTCCCGAATCGCGCTCTCGCGTGGGACTTCCTCGCAATTGATTCAGCAGGGCGCATTCAGTCCCTAGCCCCCGCTCCTGGCACTCTCTCTCTCTCTCTCGTGCTCCATCCTCCTCCATCCCCCTTGTCCCTGGTCGTGTCGTACCAGTTGTGCGGCATCTTGGTGGCTGGCGTATCTTCGGGCAGTTGCACCATCCTCCGCAACAAGAATTTTGAGGACGCCCACATCTAATGTTCTCATTTTCGCCGTTTCTGGACCCATATCCGCCGATCATTTGCTGTATTTGTTTTTCGCCCTTTGGTTCTTTCGACAACATTGTCTTGTGCTGTTGTTTATGTTGCTTCTCGCACTGACCTCACTCTGATCGACAAGGCATGGAGTGATTTGGGGCGAAGGTCCCTAATGTCTTATGGCACGACGTACTCATCTTTCTCATGGCCATGTGGCTGCGCCTTCTACTAGTGATTTCCGCTGGGAGTTGAAGTTCGGTGGGCACGCCAAGTGTCATGGAGCATTTGGAGCTTGAGCTGTGCACGGTGATTCTGCCGAGGTTGCAGAAGGAGGAGGAAGACGAAGAGGAGCGGAGGAGGAGGAGGAGGAGGAGGAGGAGGAGGAGGAGGAGGAGGAGGAGGAGGAGGAGAAGAAGGACGACGACGAGCACACGATCAGTGCATGCTCTGTGGTTTCGGTGGTCTGGGGGTGCTCGGCGGGGGCGCCACACTTTCGACAGAAGCAGCGACGACGACCACCACGACGTCAGCGGCGGCGGCACACACTCAGCGTCGGGCCGCCGTGGCGCGGAGGCCCGTGCGGGCGATCGGGCGGCGTGCCCCGCCGGCGCAGCGCCCCCGCCCCCTCGGCGTCTCGGCGGGCCGCCGAGGCCCGCTGCAGAACCCGATGTACATCGGCGGGGCGGTGGCCGCGGCCGCGGGGCTCAGCGGTGCGGGAGGAGGAGGAGGAGGAGGAGGAGGAGGAGGAGGAGGAGGAGGAGGAGGAGGAGGAGGAGGGGAGGAGGAGGAGGAGGGGGAGGGGGGGGAGAGGAGGAGGAGGAGGAGGAGGAGGAGGAGGAGGAGGAGGAGGAGGGAGGAGGAGGAGGAGGAGGAGGAGGAGGAGGAGGAGGAGGAGGAGTCGGATTCGGATTCGGATTCGGAACGATTGCGAAGCAATATTATACCGAGCATGCGACGCCCCCACTGACCTTGAAGACGCACAGGACGACAAGGCAACCGAAGCGCCCGAACAGGAGGAACAACATCACGAATACTGCATGCCACCGCTGTGAAAACCGTAGCCCCCACTGACAGCAATGCAAATACTGCCGCCGAGCGATAGGAAGGTGACATATCACAACCCACCACCCCGAAACTGAAACTTAAGAAAGGCCTTCACCATATTGGTTAAATGGCTAACCGCATGTCCCTCGGCACATTCCGCACGGGAAATTGACCACCTGCACGTATTGATGAATTGAGAGAAGCACCAACAGTAAGTAAAGGAAGCAAAACGCACCGCCTGTCGAGGTGAACCGCCGCACTATCCCAATAGTACCGCCTAATTAAGCCCACACAGCAAAACCGCATGCGTATACCACCCAAGCCCACAGTTGGAGAACCCTAGAATGCGTACAAATTGAAACCCATACTTGAGATGCCGACAAGAGACCATGCCACCAGCGCTGTGCACGCCTGAGAAAAAGCCTCCGGACAACACCTCCCGCATCTGACAGAGTAAATACACCCCCCGTGCGGTGATGGGAGAAACTGAGCCATGCTTATCAAAAGCACATATAAGCGTGAGCAATGTTATGGCAGGGAAAATACAGCCCCCAAAACATTGAGTATGAAGCACCACCAGAAGGATACGAAAGCAAACCCAACTTGAATGAATAAAACGGCCACTAAACCCCTGCGGCATGCGACTAGGAATAAAGCCCCTCGCACTCCGACCGACAGGGAGGGCAGAATACATCCAACCAGCTGCTTGCAATACAACCCCAAATTTGATTGATAGAAACGGCCACTCTACCCCTGCGGCATGCGACTAGGACAAAAAGCCCCTCGCACTCCGACCGCCAGGGAGGGCGGAATATACCAGCCAAAAGTGCGACGCCGAAAGCCGTACAGACTACCACGAATATTGCCCACAACAACTGCTGTTTTCAATGTCCGATTTGCCCGCCTTCGCCACCGCGAACGTCCGACAAACGAGTGCCAACGGCGCGGTGCCCCCCAAGCGCTACGTGGAAGCGGCGGGCGTGGCGACGAGGGGCGACGGTAGCCAAAATGCTACGGACAGCCCTCGAGCCACGTGCTTGAGAGGAGGAGGAGTCGGAGGAAGAGGAGGAGGAGGAGGAGGAGGGGTGGTCGGGGCTCAAGAGGCGGGGGTCGGTGCAGACGGGTCGCTCGGAGCGCCAGATCTTGTGGGATCCTGCCGAACCAGGTGTGAATTGACCCGGGCTCGGGAGCAGGATCCTGCAGGATCATGGATTTATTTTTCCGACGACGGACGTCATCTGCCGGGCGGGTGGGTGGGAGGAGGCCGATGGCTTCACGCTTCGCGCTGGCGGCGTCTGGGAAGATTTAAGGATGACCGAGGACGGGTAGCAGCAGCATGTAGGTGGCGATCAGCACCAGAGCGCCTGTGTACATCTCAGTGTCTGTGTGCACCACAGCGCCTGTGTACACCACACCGCCTATGTACACCACAGCAGCCGCGTGCAACACAGCGCCAGTGTGTGCTGCAGTGCCTGCGTGCACCACAGAGCCCGTGTACACTACAGCGCCTGCGTACACTACATGAGACGTGTGCAACACAACACCACTGTACACCACAGTGCCCGCGTGTACCACAGCGCCTGTGTACACCACGGCAACCGTGTGCAATAGAGCACCGCTGTTGCATATACAGTTTTAGAAGGAGTCCATGTGACACAATGGAGCGCATGTGGATCCCACGGAAAACAAATGTTTATATAAGGATTCGTGGGCTTACGCCGCACCGCCGACCCCTTGGGACTCCTGGTAAGCCTGGGGGGGTTCCTGGCAGCACCATGAGGCCCTGTGGGGGCGTTCTGTTCGTCGTGAGGCCCGTGGTGTGTTCATTCGGCGCCAGGTAGGCCCATTCCCTCCCGAGGGGGGGAGGGGTGAGGGAGGAGGAAGCATCCTCGGTGCGTAGTGAGGCCGCTCATCCTCTTTGCCTCAGATTCCGCAGCCAGTTTCCGCCCAGTCGCCGCGCGCGCGCAGGGTCCCCGTCCATGCGGGGCGCGCGGCAGCCGCAGCGTTGGCCGAACGCCTGGCGCACGGTGGCTGGCGCGTCGGCGACTTGCAGGGCGTCTTGCAGGTCGCGTTTTTGTTGATCGTGTCGGAGTTTTCTTGGACTGTCGTTGCGGAGCGTGTCGGAGGATTGCCGGGGCGTGGGGGGGGGGGCCATTTGGCGGTCGATCGGTCGGTCGTCCGTCGTTGTCGTTGTCGTCGCTGACCGTCGTGGAACGCCAACAGGACCCCCTGAATCCAGGGAGTGTAGGCGACGTGTACATCACTGTAAGAAGGAAGCTACACGAAGTAAGAGGCGGCTCCCATGATAGACATGCATGGTAAGCGGGGCGCCCCCCTGAGAAGACAGCTAGGTGATCCAGGGGCGCCCCCCTGCCTGTCATGGCAGAGTGTGCCTGTTCTACGCGTAGGTGCTGTTTAAGCGTTGGGTTTCAGCTTGATGCCAACGATGCGATTATCGATGGTGTGAATGTTTGTTCGGGTGTGACTAGTGCTGCCTTTCGCGCGCCGCATGGCTCGGAATGTGCCCGACCACTTGTGGCCGAGGGTTCCTGCCTGCAGCTCTAGGTCCGCCAGTGCGTCCGAATGTGCACGGTGCGCCACATGTGAGAACCATTGCGCGAGGTCCAGAGCAGTTGTCATCAGATGCTGCCCTGGCCGAACAAGAAAGTATTCGCATGGCATCCGTGGCGTTTGCGAAGTAGTGCAGTCTACGAGGGCGTCGCGCGACGATGCATTCATGGGTGGTAGATGAAGGAGAAGAAGACGTGCAGGACGTGTCGTCGAGAGTCCTGCGTAAGATGCCAAGGCAAATCGTGTTGGATTTTCACGCTGAGAAGTGGGCGCTCAAAGGGGTGCCGGGACCAGGGCTGTGTCCCATAGTCCCTCGTGCTCGGACGTGGCATCTGGGCTCGTATCGAAAGAAGCCCGTGTCGGGGGTGCGACGGAGACAGTTTATAATTCCACCTGGGTTGGCGTGCATGGCGCGCGCAGCGCAAGGGCGAACGCTCGACGCGGTAATAGCGGACTTGGAGGAAGGCAGAAACGTGAGCTGGATGTCGAGTTACGCGGCCATGACGCGCGTGAAGACTCGGCAGGGTCTGCTCATATATCGGCCATTTTCGAGGCAGCCGTACACTCAAGGAGAATTGGAAGGCACGAGGTTGTTGTTACAGAGGTTGCGGGGGGGAGCGTTGCCGTGGCCCGACGTCGAGGAGAGGTTGATGCCGCGGAAAACATGCGGGCAGTGTCGGAAGGTTAAGGAAAAGGCTGAATTCAGCACGAATGAGTTCGGCGCGAAGTCGGGCCCGAGCTTCTGCTGCGAGTGCGCGGAGATGTTGGAGGGGGCAGGGGAAAAGTGGTGCACGACTTGTGACCAATGGGCCGAGATGGCCTCCAGAGTGGCGGGGGCCGAGTCCGAAAGGATCAGAGTGTTCGTGCGGACAAGCAAATGCGACAGGTGCGCGTGGCCAGCGCCCCGGAGGAAGTCGCGGAAAGAGTCTCAGGGGTGGCGGCAGAATGTGCGAGACAAATTCAAGATCCGTTGCGCTGAATGCTGTGAATTCCTGAAGACGGAGGCAGAAATTACGGCGAACCAGTGCGCGACGAAGGGCGCAGGGGAGAAGCCCTGCAAGAAGTGCGCGGGGAAGAGGAGCGGATGGAACAAGTGGAGCCAGTCGCAGAAGGAAGCGACATACACTAATGAAACGAACGCTGCTCGACGAAGCGCGCGCCGGCAACAGCCGCCGAGGTGTTCGGCGTGCCCAAGCGAGGCAGACGGAAGAGGGCGGGAATTCGCGGACGCGGGGCATCTGACAACAGACCGAATCAAGCACTATTATCAGACGGGCGCAGGCCGTGGGCCAGTGAAATGCCGCGACTGCGAAACGCATCATAAGCGATCGCGGGTGTTCAGGTGTTCCGCGTGCCCGAGAGAAGCAGATGGGGGAGGCCGAGAGTTCGCGGACGGGGCGCATCTGACAGATGAGCAAGTGCAACGCTTCTTCGCGACGGGTGCGAACCGTCGCCCAGTTCTGCGCCGCGCGCGCCACGAAGAACGCAAGCAGCCGCGAGTGCTCACGTGCTCCGCGTGTCCGAAAGAAGCAGATGGGAATGAGCGAGAATTCACGGGCAGGGCGCATCTGACTGATAAGCAAGTGGAGCGCTTCTTCGCGAAGGGTTCGGACCATCGCTCGGTGGTGTGCCGAGCGTGCCACCGCTAAAGGAGGGCGGCGAAGAAGTTTGAATGCTCCGCATGTCCCCTGAAGAAGGGCGGATCGAAGCCTACGTTTACTGACGGCGGCCATCTGTCGAAAGACCAGAAGAAGGATTTTTTTCAAGCGCGGCAGTCTGGTGGTCTGCGCGAAGCGCTATAAGGCGGGGCGGGCGCCGCGGAGAGAACCGCCGAAACACCATGCGGAGGCAAGTGACGAGCGCGGCGGGAAGCAGCGACAGTTGCGAGGAATCTGACCGCGAGTCGCGCGCGGGTGGTGGCAGATACGTAGGGGGTCGAACTGTTTGCGTGCTGCTGGGGGTCTTTTGGAGGCCTCCAGGGGGCCTCTTGGGGGCTCCTTGGGGCGTCTGGGCGGCCTCTTGGGGGCCTCTGGCGGCCTTGTGGGGCATTTTTTGGGCCCCCTGGGGCTCGTGGGGGCG